CTTTAAAGGAACACTTGGCCTTTGAACTGGATGGTTTTACACTACAAAGGTTTTGGAGTTATCCAACATCTTTGAAGCTGTAAGAGGAGTTGCTTAATGCTAAGGACTGAATATCCTGAACAAGTCACTAAAGCAGGCAAAACCAAAGGCTTTCCATGAATCCAGAACAATGGCTTTGATCCTACTGACCATGATGTTGAAACACAACTTTGAAAATCAGAAGTGGGAAAACTAGGAAACCCTCCAAAATCAATGAGACAAGGTCTGTGTAGCAACTAGATTACCACAGAGTCGAGCATCATGTACCTAAATCTATTCTTATACCTGCAATTACTAGCTGTGTGATCTTGACCAAGTCACTTTCTCTCTCCTAGTCTCAAATTCCTAATCACCAAATAAAAAGATTATAATCTGACTGGTAAACTGGTTACATCTTTTGGATCAATTTCAAATGACAGGTTGTCCCAAGCAAGATCAACTCTCAACTACATCCTGTTGGAAAGAAATGCACTTTAAATATAACACAATTAAGTTAAAAGTAAATGGATAAAAAAATTATAGCATGTAAACACTAATAATGAGAACATTGATTTATATAAGACATAGACATATTAGACTTTGGGTTACATTAATTTCCAGATAAAAAGCATTTAATGGTATAAAGGGTCAGTTTATAAAAAGGACATAGAAGTCTTAAGTATATATGCACCTAATAATTTCAAAACACTGACAAAACTAAGAGGAAAATAGATCTATCTACAATTATAGTTGGAGATTAACACTCCTCTCAAAAATTGAGAGAAAAATTCAGCCTGGCACGGTGGCTCATGCCTGTAATCCCAGCACTTTGGGAGGCCAAGGCGGGTGGATGACAAGATCGGGAGATCAAGATCATCCTGGCTAACACTGTGAAACCCCATCTCTACTAAAAATACAAAATATTAGCCGGGCATCCCAGCTACTCGGGAGGCTGAGGCAGGAGAATGGCATGAGTCCGGGAGGTGGAGCTTGCAGTGAGCCGGGATCGCGCCACTGTACTTCAGGCTGGGCGACAAAACGAGACTCCATCTCAAAGAAAAAAAAAAAGAAAAAAAAAAGAGAGAAAAAGTAGACAGAAACATTAGTAATCATTGAGTACTTGGACAACACTATCAAACAACTTAATCTAGCTGACATGTACAGAACATTACAACACACGTCAGACTGCATATTTTATTTCAACTGCACATGGATCATTCATCAAAATAATGGCAAAAAATAAAAAATTAAAAAAACATGAATTTTCCAATCCTGGAAGCACAAGGAGTTCTGAGAAAGTAAATCACAAATCAATAGCTAGAAATGTGTAGTGAAACTATAGAACACTAAAGAAAATGATCTTAAAAGCAGCTAAAAAATATTTATTTATAAAAGGAGTAATAATTAGAAGATTTCTTTAAAGTAACAATAGAAATCAGGAAACGTTCATAACAATGAGACAGCCAGGCGGGAAGGGGGTCCCCAGAGAAACTCCAGCCAGCCTGCACACTTGGAGGAATACGCACCAAGACACAGAATTTCTGGCCCTTGCAGCAGGAAGGAGCCCGGCCCCTCCTCTTCCTGGGTGGAACTTGGGATTCACTCTGCAAGGAGGGAAGCATGTACTAGTACTAGCAGGGTTTTCACTCCCCTGAGTCCCTGTTTCTCCTTTTCAACCCAATAAAAGCCTGCCTTACCCTTCAAGTTGTCTGCAAGCCTAATTTTTCGTGGCTGTGTGATAAGGACCCTCATCTCTAGCTGAACTAAGGAAAAAGGCCCACAACAACAACATAATGTTCAAAAAATATGCCCCAAGGTGTGAGAGAAAATAGCTGTCAATTAGAATAGAAATGTCTGTGACAAAAATCTCTTAAGGCCAAATGATATTTCTAGATAAACAAAAATATAGAGTTCAGCACAACAAACCTTTAAACAATCTTTTAAACTATGGAATTGAGGAAGGAATTTAGACATTCAGAATTTAAACATTCTAAGGTTTCAATATTGCTCAGGAAAAATGTCAAGTTGTGATTGACTGGAGGCTTCAAAAAATTAAGAATACGTAGGGAAATGTCAAGTTTGAGACTAAAAATGGATTATGTAATTTTCAAAATAGTAGAGAAAGAAATGGAATTTTCAAAAATAAAAGATGAAGCAAAGGAGTCAGAAAAACTTCTAAAAACTAATACAAAAAGCAAGAACATTAAATGAGACAATAGCAATAAAGTTTAAAACAACAGTAATCACAGCTAAGATTGATCAACTATGTTGTCATTTGAAAGGCAGATTTAAATTCTGCTTTATGCAGCAAAGGAACATGCTAAAACATAGGAAAATCAAAAGGTTGATAGGAGAAAGGATGGAAAGCATATGCTAAAAAAACTAGCTAAAAAAAAAAATTGGGGAGTTTGTATTTATATCAGTCCAAATAGTATTTAGGTAAAAAATATTAGGGACAAGGAAGATCATCACATAATCACAAAGTTTCAGTTAGCAAGATGATACATTAATGCTAAATGCGACTATAATTAAGAAATCGACAATTTACCAACATACCCTTAGGCTTTCACATAGCTCTCAGTAATTGAGAGATAAAGCTGACAAAAAGAATTAGTAAAGATAAACAACTTATTTGCATTATGCAAATTTTGTGTAACTAAATGAATTCATATTCATCCGAAGGCCACCAATAAAACATTTGCTAAGATTAACTACTATAACAAGTTTTAACAAATAATCAAAATATAATCTGCATTCTTGAATCTCAGTATAATTAAATTCAAAATCTGTAAGAAAGCATCTAGAACTACCCTTATACGGGAAAGTCTAGAACAAGTAGGTAATGAGTAGTTGCCATTTATCTCATTTTAAAAATTATTTTCTCTCCCATTTTAAAATTGATGTAAAATCTAAATTTTGCATGGGTAAGAAAGAAAGGAGACCAAAACTATGGGAAGATAATTGAGTCCCACAATCTGATGGATGGGGTCGAAGGCAGGAGAGAAGGAAGGGACAGAGGAATTAGGAGATTTGATTTTTATAAAGATTCAAATCATTCTTTGGGGTGAGTTAACTAGACAACTGAAGTGGGATAACCATAACCAGTTGGGTCTGTGGAGGTTAGGGGTGAGTGGGCAGGATGAGCTGGAGTAGTCAGCATGCACTGAATGAGGGGTGTGGATATTAGCTGACAAGCTGGGCCTTCCGCTGAGTGCTGTGGTTTCAGATGACAGGTGGAGACTCTAATGTTATTTGGTTTTGGAGGAGCAGCACCTTGAGTTCTACAGAAAATGGGGGACTAATACCAGCCAAGAGGCATGACCTCGTTCATCCCTTTTCCTTCTGGAAGGGCATCTGTGGTAGGATTGTGTTTGTTCTGCTCCAGTTCTTAAACTCCATAACCCTCATTTCAACAGAGCCAGGCCCAAAGCATGAAAATCAAGTTTTATTAAGAATATTAATAACAAAAGAGGAATTTCTGGTTCCTCCTCACCAAATCCCTGGGCATAGTGATGCACATTCACCCAGACTCTAGCGCATATTTACGCAGATCTAATTGCAGAGTACAATTAGAAAACAACTGTGAAACAATTCTTGCTAGATATAATACACAAAAGACTTGGCTACCAAGATCTTTCAAAAACACTGATTAGATGTCAGCTTAGAATACTTCCCTGCACAGTTCCCTAGATGCTCAATAATAGATTGGGGCTAGCATTAAAAGAAAACATTTTTGCTCTCTCTGGTCTAATTATTATACAAGTATTTTAAACCATTCTCCCTTACTCTGTCCACAGAAATCTGTCCTCCACTAACTTCCACGTATCACTGCTAGTTTAGATCCTTAAGATAACTTTAATAAGCCTCACCCCTCTCTGAAATAAGTCTTGCCAATATTAGAAAATTTATGTGTGTAGAAACTGGGGGATAAAAAGGATTATAATTGACTTAAGTTGATACAAAAGGGTAGAGGATTACTAGGAAAGTTATATTTTTAGAACATGAGTTTCCATTTTATTTGTGCAAATTTTTATTTTTACCAAGAAAAAACTAAAAACAAAAACAAAAAAGGCAAGTGTTACCAGTATGGTAGAGACTAGAAGTTCCTTCACTGAAGTTCTTGACGCAGTTATGAGTCCATGTGACTGTCTTGTCGCGAGTTTAGCCTGCACCACTCTGAACCCAAGTCCTGCTTCTTGCCTTCCTGAAGCCCAGGCACATTGCGGAGGAGCCACTGCACAACTCTGTTGGGTGAGCAAGCCTTCCAAAGCTAGCCCAGTGGTACTGAGTACTCTAGGTCCACTCACGCAAATATATCCCAGTGAAGTCTCTAATTCCCTATTTGTCTCTCATTTACTATTTCTTCCCCTCTGACTCTTCTCCATCAGTCTACATATATACTTAAGACTACTATTTACTACGTTAGATTTTGGACAAATTCCATAACCTCACCAAGTTATTATCAGGAATTGCATAGATAAAAATGAGATAAGCCAGATCTTTAAAACTGAGTCTGTAAGGGGGAAAGCCTGGGAAATCAGTGCCTTTTAACCAGCAGGTGGTTCTAATGATGGAGCAAGTGTGGAAAACACTTTCATTAATGTCACAATGCTTTGTTAATATGTAGCTGAATCACCTGAATGCATTTTAAACAGGCAGTTTCCCCTTGTCTCTCCAGACCCACCTGAGACCCACTAACCAAGGCAGACTCTCTTCATGTGTGCATATTCTGATGCAAGGCACCCGCAGAAAGCACTTTGTGGAAGCCTGACTGAAAACTGATAGTGTGCTCCTTGTCCATCAGCATCAACATCACCTGGAAGTGTTTCAGAACTACAGAAAATCCTAAGCCCTACCTCTTCTAAATCAATGTGCATGTTAGCAAGACTCCATCCCCCTGCTCTGGGCAATTCTTATGCATGTTACCTTTGAGAATGGGTTTTAGTTAGGGTTCTCCCTAGAGACAGAAGCTACAGATGTATAGAGAGATATATGAAAAAGGATTTATTAGAGGTAATTGTCTTACTTGCTTATGGAGGCTGAGAAGTCCCACAACAGACCTTCTGCATGCTGGACAACCTGGAAAGCCTGTAGCGTGGCTCAGTCTGAGTTTGAAGGCTTCAGAACCATGGCATTCTATGGTGTAATTCTCAGTCCAAAGCTGAAGGTCAGAGAGCCCGGTGGCGCCTTGGTGTGAGTCCTGAAGCCCAAAGGCTGGAGAACCTGGAGTTCTGATGTCTGTCTACAGGTCAGGCTCTTCTCCAGGGAGACTTTGCCCTTTATCTGCCTTTTTGTTCTATTTGGGGCCCCCAGCTGGTTGGATCGTGCCTGCTCATATGGAGGGCAGATCTTCTTCATTTAGTCCCAGTTTCCCTCAGAAGCACCCTCACCGACACACCTGGGGCAGCCCAATTATTTCTAATCAAACGCCAAATCACCTGGGTTTCCCTTTCGGCAGAAGAGGGAAGGGCTCAGTATCTACTGAAGCATGGAGAGTAAATAATGCTTTCCCAGATAAGTATCCCTTAATGCAGTCAAGTTCACACCCAAATCCAACCATCACAGAAGCAGTGACTTAAGCCCAACAGTGAATCTCAGAATCAAGATTCTAGAAATGATTCTGTTCTCAAATGTCCATGGGCTAATTTAAGATGTCACTTAACCTACTTAATATCTATCTCTAGATTTTAAAAATTAGTGCACAGGAAACTTTAACAGGTAAGTAGTTGTCTGTCTTTAGAGCTGAGGTCTGTGTGGCCAGGTGATCTGTGTCTGTTCCACGTTTCCATTTGGAATGCCCAGAGCTCTGCCTACCAGCTGGTTTGGGATGTCTATGGCATGAATCATCAGCCATTTGGACCTTGACAATAAAGGATTTTTACGGGGAAATTGCTCCTCATCTTAGGCCTCAGTTTCTCTATTTGTAAAGGAAGATTACCACGCCCACTTCATTGTTTTGCAGAGAAGATCCAAATGATGTATGTAAAATGCAAGCTCAGAATGAAGCATGAGGCCATGTTTTATTTGTGAAAGGGAATGGGAAACCATGGAGGCAGGCAGTAGTGGTGAATGTCTCTGGAGCTATATTTGAAGCCCTCACTGGCAGGTTCATACTACCTTGCTATTGTCAAAGAAGGAATAAACAACAGTTGTATCACATTGGTACCACATCTGGAGAAATGCATGGGAGGACAAAAGGCAGGTAGGTATAAATGTGAAAATCATTTTCCCAGAGAAGTCAATTTTTATTTGCAGCTCCTTTGGCCTCTCAGTTTATTGTTCTACCTCCAAACCCAGAAGGGCCCTCACATTTACCAACAACCTGGAATAATACGTTTCTGACCGAAATTTTAACAATTGAGGATTTTTGAATCATAAATGCATACACCAGCAGGACTGTTTAGGATCCTTCTGTCTGTTTCCTTGCAAAGTTATTCATTCCTATGTTAATTTATACCTGCATTCCTCAAGTATTTACTATGTCTCAGGCAGTATGCTAAGCTTTGGATATGCATGACTTTATTTAACCCTTATTATAACCCTATGAATGAGGAACTCATGCCTTTTCTGTAGAGAATGAAACTGAACCACAGTTAAGTCATAAACATGAAGAGTTCACTCAGCTAGTAAGCGACAAAGACAGCCATTAAACCCAAGCAGCCTGACTCAGACTCCTTTGCTATTGGAGCAGCTACTGTGTGCCTGGCACTGGGGCTACAAAAATGAGATACATATAGTTTTTGCTCTCAAAGGCTAATGGCGTAAGAGAAGACTGCAAATTCTAATGCAAGGAGGGTAACCCCATCACAAGACTTGCTCATCGTAAGCATTGCTAATGGATCCTCACAGTCTTTCCCACTGAATCTGGACTTGTTATGTAGGGTTCCAGGAAATCACTGCAATTGCTTGAAAATGGCATTTCAGATGACACTTTTTTCCCATTCTTGCTACAGTGGAAATAAATCTAAAATTATTAATGTTTATTACATCTTGCCTTGGCCTGTGATAGAGGCAAAGGAGAGTATTGATATGGTGTACAATTAACAATATTAGGTATTAAAGATCTGTCGCAAACAAGCACAAGCCTAAGACACGACAATATCACGATAGTCAAATAGCCAAGAATATTGCTCTAATTTGTACAATTTGTCAAGAAAGACAAGCCTTTTACCTTATCCAAATCATGTCACGTCTCCTAAATCTCATAGCTCATATGAGTAATTTGCTTGAATTTTATCTTTTCAGGAATTAAAAAAAGGTTAAAAACGGAGTCTAAATAAGATATAACTGCATTTAATATCAGATGAGGTGGGCTGACAAGGCAGAAATCTACCTTAGCAAACCTAATATTTTTCACCTTTCTCCAGTTAATCGAAAATGCACAGGTGGGCTAGGCTAAAATTAGCATAAGAGAAAAACATTATTTCTGTTTATATAATTTGCATTCCTTTGTAATCAGTGAAATGACATATCAGACAAGAGGCTTACCTGCTGTGATGCAATCTTTAATCCCCATCATATATTAATTATCCCTCTGCAATATAATAAAGCTGCTTCTGTCAGGATGGCATTGAATGTAAACAGTCCCAATTACTGGTAATTCTCAACTGTTTTGCAGAAAGAAAAGTGTGGTATGATCCGTGGGCTTTGTAAGGAAACAAAATAATAAAGTTAACTGAGTTTGTCATCTTAGTTGAAACTTTTCTGCAGACTTCCCAGGTCCTGTGCTTACTTTCTTGAATTATTTCTAAAAACTGAAGCAACATACAAGCAGACTCTTGGGAACAAAACATCTTTCCATTTATAAGTTTCAGGAAAATTTTAATAGGCTGAAAGTGAGTAAGCAAGTTGTGCTGCTAATTTCCCACAGGCATTTCCCAAGCTTTTACCCATCACACCATAAGACCTTTGAATAACAAGGTTCTGTTTGGGCTGGGTACGGTGGCTCGGTGGCTCACTCCTGTAATCCCAGCACTTTGGGAGGCCGAGGTGGGTGGATCACGAGGTCAGGAGATCGAGACCATCCTGGCTAACACGGTGAAACCCCGCCTCTACTAAAAATACAAAAACAAATTAGCCAGGCGTCGTGGTGGGTGGCTGTGGTCCCAGCTACTTGGGAGGCTGAGGCAGGAGAATGTCATGAACCCAGGAGGCGGAGCTTGCAGTGAGCCGAGGTTGCGCCACTGCACTCCAGCTTGGGTGACAGAGCCAGACTCTGTCTCAAAAAAAAAAAAAAAAAAGTTCTGTTTGAACCACAACATTGTTGTTACTCTTCTTCCACATAAGAGAGAAATAAAAATTTCCATCAGTAAAGCAAATTACAAGACAGGGAATGAATGTCACACCTGTCTAGCATTATGATGCACTTTCTTTAAGCTTTATCAGCATTTAAACCTTTTGACACTCTCAGAAAGTAGTGGTCACTAGTATTTCTAATGGTTTTTGAGAGAAAGCTCTTCAAAGAAGATGATTCCTCCTATGTCAGAGAAAGGCTATCATCCAGGTTGGAGGGTTCAGATGATGGTGACAAAACCAGTCACTCTTCACTATTTTCTCTCCAGTGGCAGACATTACTAAATAATTTCAATGCTTTTTTTCTGAGCCCCATTTAACCTTCTCACCTTAATCCTTTGAGAAGCCACTAACAATGAATTGAAATTGAAGCACAAAATGAAAGACATTGTCATTTCTTCTTTCAGATTCAAACACCTAACTAGAGACTGTTTGAACCACTTCTTCGTTAGGAAGGTACTCAGGAGATAAAAAGGAGCAGGAAATATTTGATGGGATTCCCTAAGCCTTCTCTTTCCTCTTACTTCTACCTGTCCACCAACCCATCTTCTGTTTAAGAAATAATAAAAGTAGTTGTAGAAATTCAAGGTAGGGAGTCTGATATGGATGACTGCCTCATCCCTGGGGAACTAGAATGTCACTTTATGCAGAATGCTTGCTTATACCCATAGAGAGCTTTGTAGGCCTTGGTAAAAAATAAAATGAGAAACTATTAAAGGATATCATCCAAAAAGAAGCTTAATGTCTAAGCTAAAAAAAATCACTATGGCTCCTATGTGAATAAAAGTTGGAGAAGAGCAGAATGAATACTGGGGTAACCAGTTGGGAGTTGCTGTAGTCTATGGAAAAAACGATTGTCCTTGATCAGGTTGGCCTGCCACAACAAAACACTACAGAATGGGTGTCTTAACAAGCAGACATTTATTTCTCAGAGTTCTGGAGGCTGGAAGCCCAAGAGTGCCAGACTGCTCAGGTTCTGGTGAGGGCTCCCTTCCTGACTTGCATTTGGCCACCTTCTTACTGTGTCCTTACATAGAGGATAGAGAGCTCTGGTGTATCTTTTTCTTTTTATTAGGACATTAATCCAGTCATGGTTACTCCACCCTTGTGACCTCATATAAATCTAGTTATCTCGCAAAGGTCCCATTTCCCCCTGAAAAAACCCCATCTCTCCCTGTCAGATTGGAAGTTAGGGCTTCAACACAGTCATTTGGAGTGGGAAGGAACACAAAAATTCAGTACATAACAATGATGGTAATGTGGAATAGGTGAGAGCAGTGGAGTGCAAAATTATTCATAAAGCGGAATTCACAGGACTTGGTGAATTGATTGAATTAGGGAGGTGAGGAAAGAGGGGCATCAAGGATAGTGCCAAAATTTCTAGCTTGAGTAAATGGGTAGGTGATGTCATTTACAGAAAAGAAGAAACAAATTTAGTGATTATGCAACTTATTCCAAATAAAATTTATCTGATCTTATATATGAAATACTTTTTGAAAGACCTAGAGTGATGCTACTCAATGTAATCGTCTATCCTAAAGATAAATATTAATTCTAATAATAATAATAGTTAATTTTATTGTTTTGTGACTATCAAGTATAATGCTAGGCTTTGTATATTCATTTTCCATTTCATAAGTAGCTCTATGACATGGATATTATCATCCTCATTTTACAGATGAGTTAACAGGGACACAGAACAATTAATTTTCTGTGTTTTGTAATACCAATGTTTGCCAACATTCATTTCTCTTCTAATCAGGGACAAAGAGGACTACAATCCCCTGCCCACTTGAAGTGGAGTGTAACCTCATGATGTGCTTCGGCCAGTGGAATGTGAGTGGATGAAAACTATCACTTTCAGGTGGAAGTATTTAAGAGCCTTTGTTTGATTTTCTGTGCCCCCTCTTCCTCTGCTGAGCTGACCAAAGCAGCCAGGGGTTCAGGTAGTATAGCTGTATGTTAATATAGATAATATAGGATCTGTAAAGTGATCACAGTTACATCGGGCATGGAACATGAACAAGAAACAAAACATGGTTGCATTAAGATGTTGAGACTTGGGGAGGGATTCCTTATTACAGCGTAACAGCTTCTTCTGACTTACACGAATTCACTGTCAGTAAAAGACTGAATCAGTATTGGAAAACACACCCTTTAACCACAACAGAGTGTTTATAAAAGACGGAAATTATCTCAAAAATGTGGCAGCTTATATCAGATCACAGACTTGGCAAGTGGGGTGAGGGGAAGGCAGTGTTGAATATCTGTGACCTGTACAGACCTTTCCCTATGGGAGGTGTCGTCCTTTGTCTTCACTTTTTTTTTTCTACTTGCATTGGACCTCTTGCCCTATCGACAAAAAAACCCTGCTTATTGGTATAAATTCAAGTGTTTCAAATAAGCCTGTGAAGAACATCAGTGGTTGCAGTCAACTACTTCAGGTTTTGGCCAAGGAAAGAAGCTTAGTCACTGAATGATCAATTGGCCAAATATACCAAATTTGCTTGTAGTAATTTTGTAAACATTTAAAAAGACTTAACCAACTTAACTGAAATGTTCATCTTTGGGTATCAAATATAACATTCAGAAAAATAATTCTGAGTATTAATATGGACATTTTTCTTTAATCTTGATTTATTATATGTTATATTTTGGGTAATTCTGATTTATTTTATTTACTTTGGAGTTTAAATTAAAGCTCACAATTGGCTTTTCACAAATTGGCTATCAGTGAACTAGCCTTAGCAAACGAACATTTGGAAAATTAATTTTCAGAAAGTTGTCCACTTCCACTGTCCCAAAGAAAGTTCCAGGTCTCAGAAATAAAAGCAATTTTATGAATTTAGCTGAAGCTGCAGTGACAAAGAGACATGTTGAAATGGGAAAGTTTCCCCTGTTCCCTTCTCACGGCACGTGACAGGAAGTGGCTAGCTTCTTATGTGCCCCACTGCTCAAACCTCTAGGGGAGCATGCAGACGGGAAGGTTGTGGGGCTCCAAGCCCACAGCAATGAATAGGGGTGAATGTTTACAGCTGAAGCCCTAGTGGGCGTGTGTTATGGGGTACTCTTTTAGTTTAGCCGTTCCTAGGCAGCTTGCACTAGTCAGCTCAATTAGACCTTCTGCCTTATCGCAAGGACAGAGGGCTTTCTGTATCCTGGAGTTTCTGCTTTGGTGTACCAGAAGAATTGGATCACACGTGGGCTTGGAGAATGAGTGCAAGGTTTTATTGAGTGTAAGTAGCTCTCAACAGATGTGGGAGCCAGAAGGGAGATGGAGTGGGAAGGTGGTTTTCCCCTGGAATCAGACCACTGAGTGTCCTGGGCTCTCCTCTGACTACCCCAGTCAAAGTCCACATTGTTCTGTCAGTCGGTGGCCTGCTGGCATCCGTCCTGTGCTCTTCTGCCAGCGTGTTCCCCTAGACATCCTTTCAATATTCAGCCACTTGTGTCTTCTCCCACCGATGTGTTCCTCTCGATGTCCAGTGACTTGTGGGTCTGCCTGCTAGGGACTCAGGGTTTTTATAGGTATGATAGGTGCAGGATGGGGGCATGGCAGGCCAGGGTAGTCTTGGGAAATGCAACATTTGAGCATGAAGGCAGGAGTGCCCATCCTCACCTGGGTCTGTGGGTACAGGCAGGGTGTGGAGTCCTTGCCAGGGACCAAGCCCTTTCCTTCCCAGCACTTCCCTTCCCTCCTTTGGTATCAATGTCACATGGACAAAGTAGACACCTTGGCTTTATTTGCTTTTGTCTCCTGACATTCTTTCTCCATTTTCTTATACTGGAGTCTTCAGTGGTTTGGGTGGGAATAACTTCTCCCACCAAGAGCCACATGGGTTGACATGAGACATCAAGTCAATCAACTATTACATTTCTCATTTCAAATCCTGTATTCACTATTTATTTGTAAATGACAAAAATCTCAATTTAAAAGAGCTGTAGCAGAAAGGACATTTGCTGACTCATAAACCTGGGAAGTCCAGAGGAGCTTCTGGGTTCAGATATGGCTGGATCAGAGAGCTCAGATGATCCTTTCTCTGCCTGTCCTCCTTCTGAAACATGAACCATGAATCTGGAAGTATCAATAACAAGCATGGTACCTGGGAACTCTCAGGTGCCACCTTTCCTTCTACATGGTTCCAGCCTGCCTGAGAGAGATGCTAACAAGGCTCACAAAAAAAAAGGGTCAGAGAATTTAGAGAAGAAATACCACAAAAATGAGTACTCTAGGCCTCACAGCCTCACTTGTAAACCTGGAGGAAAACAAAACGAAACAACAACAAATCCTTAAATATGAGATGACAGGGCTCTTTGCAAAACAAGTCACGAGCAAAATAAAAGCCTTGCTTA